TTATATTAAAAATAGAAACAAATTATAACCCAAAACCGATTTAAAAGATAACCATATATGTCAGTGAATCGCCAAAAATAATCCTCCAAAATGCTAATTCGCATTCAAAATGGCAGTCGTAAAAACAGACAGAAATTTCAGATGATTAAAATTAAGGACCTTCTTTCGATTTTGGCCAAAATTAAGGACTTTTAAGGACCGTACGAACCCTAATATATTTAATAGCTGTTTTAGGCAACTAGCCCCACGAACAGCTAGTAAATATTAAAAAGAGTAACATTAACATTCAGCATTCTATATGTGTTCAAATACGAAAAATGCTCAAACACAGTGTATGAAACTTTTTTCTTGGCATTTGTAAACTGGAAGATACCGGACATGGAAGGCATTAAATATAATAAAATATGTACAATTCCTCATAAAGAAATAAATGAAAAATACTTTTGGAATCATTCTACAGCAGAAAGAATTTGCTCATTCTTATAAATTTCCTCTTTTTGCAATCAATTCTCCTCAACTCATCTTTCAGCAGATAATTTTCAATGCCATCACTTACATCATGCATCCAGTATTATGCCATATATAATCATATTCTGATACTGTTGAATCCAGAATTGCACTGGAGCCTACCGTAGCCCGGCTCTGCTAATTCTTAGTTTTTGGGTTAAATCATAATTCTAGTCGGAGTGCACCAGAGCCCTAAATAAGAAGGATCTGGCAATTCTTAACGTAACTAAACAACAATTTCTGCAGAAATTAGGTCTTGACAGTTTTATTCTTAATAATAAAATTATATTAAAAATTGATCCTCACTTCTAAATGCATGCTTCTGTTTCCTTGGAAAACAAACCCTTGGATGGAGGTGGAGACTTTTACGGGAAGCAAAACCCCTAACCACATGTCAAAGGCTTATTCTCCATAAAGTAGAATGATTACAATGATTTTATGATAGAACGTAAAATTTTCATTCTAACGCTAGTGTCTCCTTGCGGAAAAGACCATCAGCAGAATTTCTGGAATGATGCAACCGAAGACGGGGAACGAAAAGTGTCACTTGTTATTTTTTCTTTAGCTAACCCTCGGATTCGGAGAAAATTTGTTCCCCAGTCATTTTTTGTTTGACAGTTAGAATTATATCGACAGAAGATCATGGTCTGAAAGTGCTAGACTCTTCTCTGTTTTCAGACCTATACACCCTCTGTTAAAATTTTCTCTACACTCTGTTACTGTTTATAACATACTCTTTAGTCTCATTAGTAACGCTTTAATGATTTTAAAATTTTTCATTGGTGTCTGTGGAAAAAGAATGGTCTATATTTCTATCATCAGTTGAAGACAGACATAATATTAAGAGATTAAATTCAAGCAGGGACTGAAGAGCTATTTTTTAGTTTTGTTTGAAACTGTAATTCTATCTGGAACCCCAAATAAAATCACAGTCCAGTACTTTATTTTATAATTTAACTATTTATCATTTATCTAATACTATTAAATTTTTATTTGTCTCTATAATTTTGTTAAATTTTAATTATATTATTATTATAATCATTAATTATTTAATTACTCTAATCATTAATTAGTCAATTTTTTTAATTTTCAATCACTTTATCATTTTATTTATTTATTTATTCTTGTTCCTCTTTCCTGATGATCTTCAATAGGGCTCCGGCACTTCTGATTTTAGAAATTAAGCCCTGGTTAAATAAGATACTTTCCTTTACTATCAAAACATGCGACATTTCTTAAATCATCTTAATGATCTTGTTATTCTCAAATACAACACCTCAAGATTTTAGATAGAATTATTCAACTGACCCTATACTTAAAACACATTTACTCATAGCTTAAATTGCGCCAGAGCCTACCGCAGCCCAGCTCCTATACTTCTTCATTTTGGGAACATATTCTAATTCTAGCTGGAGCACAGTGGAGCCCTGAATAAGAAGGCTCTGGCACTTTATTTATGTAACTGAACATTTATTTCAGTACAAATTTGATTTAGAAAATTTTATTTTTAGCAATAAAATTATATAAAAAAATCACTCACTAAATTTTATTTCTTTACATTTTACTTAATTTAATTATTTAATAAACTAATTATTTATTAATTAAAATACTAATTGTAAATTAAACACTAATAATAATATAATTATTAATATCAATTAGATCATTATTAATTAATTTGATACTCATTAACATTTTAATTTTAAATTATTAATGATTTTAATACTCATTTTATTTATTTATTTACCCTTGCTGTTCTTTTCTTTTGACAGTGTTCCACAGGGCTCCAGCACTTCTACTTTTAGAAATTAAGCCCTGCATTTACTGCATGTACGAACTACGTATTTTCTTTTAACTTATATCATGTATAAAAGAGCACATTTAATTCAAATTTAAAATGTCAAATTTTCAATAAAAGAAATCGCCAAATTAAATTCCTTATTCATTCATTCAATATGTATTTCAATTTTTTAGAAAACTATTACCTTATATCCCACATGCAAGATAATATTAAAGGTCCCACACAAAATAAAATAGCAAATACTGTATTCGAACATATAAAAACTACTATAATAATAAGTTCTTAAGAAGTGAAAATCTACAGCATGTAATGAATACTATTAATTTCTATCTGTGTTATCAAAAAGGGTTAAAAAAACATTAATTTTATTAAGCATCTAGCTGTTAACAAATATTTAAAATTAAAATTTCTTACCTATTTGATAAATAATAAAACTTTAAAGTTATGAGTATTTGTCATCAATATCAGTACTTTGATATCATATTTAATACAGTAATTTTATTCTTCAGTCCCTTCCTTGCTTTAAATAAATTCATCAAACAAATCATCTTACATTTAGAGAGATATGCAAAGTCACATAAACCTATTTCAGACATTTTTGTATTCTGTGTAATTAAAGATGAAAAATTTGGTTGTTAAAAACATAGAAATATTCTGACAATAACCATGCCTTTTCATATTAAAAATGGTGTTCTGTTAAACAGATTTTGATATACTAAAATTATAACTGATTTACTGTTCTACCATGAATTCAAAACCTCTCACTAGTATATTTTAATTTTTACTTTTTATTGCAATACTTTATTATTAAATTTTTAAAAAATTTTTTTCCCCTCATTCACAGAAATCTTGCATCATAAATTATTAGATTAATTATTAAATTAATTATTAATTTCAATGATAAATCTATTTTTTAAATTTATAAATTCGATTTTAAATATTTTAAAAAGTCAAATAAATTTCAAATTAAAAAAATGCTTTGCACAATAAATCTCAAGGCTTCAAGTTAACAAATAGAAAAGCTGTACGATTCACCTATGCATCCTCTAAAAGCATCATACAGATGATCAGATGCGATTTCACTCCAAAGCAAATGTGGCAGTCAGTGTGATCCAAAGCAATCAATGTGATTTAACTCCAAAGCAGAAGTTTATTTTAAATGAATTAAAAACATAAAATTTTCATTTTGAAAATATACTTTTGCTACAGTAGGTTATTTTCTTTTTATTTGTTATGGTTCAATATTACTTCTTCATAAATAAGCAATAAACTTCAATGCATAAACAGTAATCTCAAATGAGATATAAATTAGCAAAATTCTTCCAATGATTCTATAAATATAAATAATAAAGTGCTCTTTTTTTATATAGTTTAAAATAATTTTTTTCAAACAAATAAATAAAATATCATTCAGCAGAAGAAAAGTTAGCAATCTTCTGAAAATAAAGAGACACTGATAACATCAGATGAAGTGCCTGCGATATTCTTCTTATCACATCATAGTTGATAGCATATCAAACTGATCACTGGAAAGCATTAGACAAATGCCAGGTTAAGAGAAAGTATAAAAATATAGCCACGATTCTGTTAAAAATGCCTGTTAAATGAAAAATTAAAAAAACCATTTTTTTTAATTAAAAAAAAAAAAACACAAATGCCAGTCTTGTAATAAATGATAACACAAAATTCAGACAAAAGATAACAATTTGCAAATTTGTATTTCAATTAAGTCTACTCTACATCATATTCAAGGATATGTACAAGCATGTACGAAACAGGAACATGCTAAAGAAGTCAAATTATTTTATATTTCACGAAATGTTTACAAAATTTGCTACTAGTTAAAAAAAAATTATAATTCAGTACCTACAAACACTCTGCACTATAAACAGCAAGAATTTCTGATGGAGAAAGGTAGGCTTCACAATTTTTACATCAGTACTTTCAATATTCACTAACACAAGTTTTAAGTATACCACATGTACTTTCAATAATACAATTAAAAAAAAAATAATTCTAGCATATGATCACGGAGTTCCACTTACAGATTACCAAGTAAAAATTATTCTTTCACCTACACTATCAGTATAAACAGTTAAATAAAATAATACAGCTACATTAATAAAGGCAAAAATTGACTTAATTATGATTAGCAGAAATTTAGGTTTATAGAAAATATAAGGATTTTTAACATAAAGTTTTTGTTGTTATTTTTAAATACAAGAAACTTGATTTTTATAAGGTTAAACTGAACACTTGGAAAGAAGCAGCAATTTTACAAATGATATATTTCATAGAAAGAATGTGGAAATCATCATAGCACCAGTAACATTTTTATGAAATGTCGTTATTATTTCTGATTTTGTATTTATTAATAACTTATGTATGAAAATATTTTTAACAGACAATGTTTCGAACTTTTAAAATACACCTGTTCTTCCCCATGAAACAAACAATTTCTAACCCACAGTAAATCATAAGGATCACTTATTTTTTTCCCAATATTACGAACATGCATACTACAGTGACAGTTTATGTATGGTATTACGATAAAACTGAAAATTAACAGAGATCTCTTGCTATTACGATTTGCCACTGTCATCCATGTAAATATTAAAAAATTTCATTTTAATTTTGATACTTTAGCGGTGTTGCAAATTAAGATATTTATGCAGTGAATAATTTAATTATTTACCTTCTTTATGTGATTAAAACTGAATATATACAATTTCACTTAAATAAGCAAAACTTTTGCTTCATATTTACTTCAACCGCAGTTATAAACAGAAACACTGTGTAGTGGTAAATTTCGGAAGATAGGTTACAGTTACTTTTAGTGGCATACTTTACGCCAAGGCGACTGATATAAAAATAAATCTGTAAAGGCCCATTTACACTAGCGAAACTTTGAGCCTAAGAAATGCACGCGGAAGTTGCTACTTCATTAAATGACGAGAAAATGTTACTCTTTTTTTTAAAAAACTGAAACTGAATATGTACACATTTAAATAAACAGCCTAACTTATAACATTATTCAAGAGTTTAAGAGTTAAATATTCCCTCATAATACGAAAACATTGCTGTTAAAAAGCTCTCAAACGAGTCTTCAAAATTCCCTGCGTTTCTTAGGCTCAAAGTTTCGCTAGTGTAAATGGGCTTTAATGAACCATTAAAACTTTGTTAAGCTAAGAAATACTGAGTAACAATTATAACCTAGTATTATGCTGCATCACCAAAATGTGGTATTTAATTAGAACTTCCCCTAACTTAAAATATTGGTGAAAAACTATTTTGAACTTATTATTCCGAAAAAATATTGTGGCTCACGTTTGTTTTCCGACCCTTGTGCTTTTCAGTTTTATTTTCAAACATCAGTTTCTAAATATCAGCGAAATAACTTGATTTTTCTTTCAATTAAACTATTTTTCAACTGTTTTTAAAACCTGCTTGTTTTCGAAACAATTATTCGAAAAGCTTCTGATAAAAATATAGTTTATTAAAAATATGTTCTGGAAAAGGACTTACGTAAGCAGTTGAGCACTTTGAACAAAAGCACATATTTAATAAAAACCCGATAATAATTGGATATTCAATACTTCCTTAATTTAAGCTAAAATTACATTTCACATGCGCTTTGGTAGGGATTTAACTTATCTCTTCGAGTAAGAATATTTCGTTTTGATCTAGTCCTCCGTAAGAATGGCTTTTACCGGAGCTTTCGAAGAAACGTCATAACGTCATTTCCTATTCTTTTCTTCAACTCACTCCATACACGTTCGGTTGGATTTAGCAAGGAAGAATAAGAAGACAGTTTTATAATAACCACAAGTGAACATATAGAGCCGTATGTTTAGGATCGTTATCCTGACAGTACTAATCCTAAGTAGAATAGTGCAACACTGGAGTACCTAGGTTCAACTGGCCTTACCTCCATCGAAGAATATTCGCTTTTGAATTTATCAAGGATAACTGAAAAGGAACATTCTAACAGTAATTACAAAAGTCCTAAAGTTGAAGAAATATAATAATAAGCTACGAGTAAATACAAAGCTACCAAAGTTCTACAGATTGAATATCCCACATACCTAGTTTCCATTTACCACAGATAAATTTCAGCTGAATATAGCCTCTAGAAAGTTAAACAGCACAAAAGTTTTGTCAATAGAAGTGAAGGCAGCGCGAACCTCATCAATGCGGTTAGTTATTGTTCTAATTACATCGAATATGAAATAGTCACTGAAAATCTTATTTATTTTGCGAATGATCTTCCTGAAACCTACAAAAGCTGCAGAGATGTTATTCGTAGAATTTTCTTTCGAGCATTGCTTTGTTCTGCTTTATATGCTCTGCTGAGCGGTGGCAATGAAGTCTGGTCATTTAGATCAATGGTTTTATTAAATTTACCTGCATCTGCTTCCCTACTGGAGCAACCCATATAAGTAGTAAGTATTTATCGAGTTTCATTAATATCCTGGGATCTAATGGGTTTCTTTTTCATATTAGTCTGATTTTCGGATATAATCGAATGTTATCAACATGTGCTCCACCACACTTACAGCAGGTGAGTTTATTAATAAGTTTTGCTTCGCATTCTGAACTCTTATGAGGCAGAGCATATTTAAAACGCCGTGGAGCGAGTTTACACTCGTCCGAAGAATGGAAGAAATGCTGGCAGTTGTGGCATTGAGCAACCCCGCCTTTGTACTTGATCAAAACAGAAAACGTTACCGATATCATAAATCTTCTCAATTCCGAAACATTGGCTAAATGAACATGAAATAGAGGCAATGATGTGCTAGTTATAAATCTGTACATTTAATTAATCTTAATGATGTTGAATCCATCGGTGATCAACTCTTCTTTAATTTCGTCCGTACTGCATTCAAATCTCAAGCCTCGTGAAACTACTTTCACTGGCTTTACGTTTTAGGCACATAATACATAATGTTGGATACCATTTGCTTCCAGGTATCTGATGATCTGCTAGTGACAGTCAACGGTAAGTGGTAATAATTTTATGAATTCTCCAGAAATTCTAGCAGTAAAAGCGTCATTTATTTTCTCATTCAGTTTTTTTGACAAAGTCATAAAATTTAAGTGAAGGAATAACCATAATCAATAAAATCCTTGGTTTCAATAAATCGCAGCCCGGGAAAGGGAGCAGTTTCAGAATTTTCACCATTAATACAACGTGTTTCAAAAGTCCGAGAACATCTTTAAACAATTAATTGTAGCCAAACGAGTAACGAAGTACATCATTTTAGAGTACAACACATTATTTTAGAGTACAACACAGTACATCACATTACAACGTAACGAAGTACATCATTTTAGAGAGTAAAGATATAAGATTTTTTCAGCAACACTCATTTTACAAACACTGTATGTGGAACCATGTCTGATCCTTCAAGCGTCGATGTGATAATCTAACTCTTGCAACACTCGGCACAAAGTGTCTTCCCAGCTTCATATGAGTTAGGAAGGTCAACAACGACTGTATGGTATGCTTTGCGTAAAAATTTAGGCCCCTAGTCTGGACACCGTCGAGATAGAAGAACGGGTCGTTTTTTGCGATCTACTCGACAGAGAGCGAGTCTGGTGTCATCGTCACGCATCGGAAATTTTTCCGTTAGCTAGACAGCTGCCGTTTATGTTTCTGACTGTCGTTTTAGAGCTAAACTGAGAACGGTGGAGGTCACGGATTGTTTTTGGAAGTGTACGTAATAGATATTTTAATTTATTAAAATTTGTGAAAAACTCGAATATTTCGCAATAGAAATAATGCATTTGATACTGACGATTCTACATTATTTATTAATTTAACTTTACCAATGCCTTAATTAAATTTTAGTGAAAATAATATATTTGGTGTTTCTCTATTTCACATATAAAGAAGGGGTGCATACTTTTAATTTAAAATTGTAATTTTTAAACTAATGTATATATCAATGTACTTAATTTCCTGTTTTTGATGAGTAATTTGTAAATTTTGAAATTTTATGCTTTAAATTATAATGTATTTCCCTCTACTTTTATTTTAATTTGTAGTGTATAAAAATTTAATACATTAGATATGCATTAAAGGATCTGCAGTATATAACTCAAACTATGCACATCCTAAATTCACATTTACATTAAATTGCTTTGAGTTAAAAAATTTATTTAAGTAGTTTCAACTGTACCGATCTCAATGTCAATTTCCGATAGTTTTTAGAATCTCCTGTATAAAACAAGTTAAATTCCTATATAATTTTCGGTTAAACTAAATTCTTGTAAATAATATAATGCATGATTTATAATTAGTTATCAGATTTTTTAATGTGGTCTACTTTTAGATATTACATCAGTTTTCTGTATTTTTATTCAGATCTAAAAAGTGCTTGGTTTGGGCTTTATGTAATTACGGCAAAGCCTCGAGGTCTATCTGCCTTAAGTGAGAGTTGCCTTCGTGGAGGACGTTCTAAGGAAAACTAGCTCGTATACATGGAGAAAACCCCAAAAACGTCCATGCAGCCAGCCCGTTTGCAGGATTCCAACCTTGTACCGAACTTCCAGTGTTCAGCGATTTTACCGCTCGGCCGCTGGCGGGATCGATTTAAAAAGAGTATAAATAGGAATATGTGCTGCAATTTCTTTCACTGCATCTGTTAATGTATTTATAATAGAGTTTTATATATATATTTATTTATTTATTTAAAACATATTTTGTGTGCCTTAAACTTCTATGCTTCTAGAAGTAACCAATGATATATTGGTAATGACGCCCATGCGTCCAGCCCGTTCGCGGGATTCGAACCTCGGACCGCACTACAAGTATTCGGAGATTTTACCGCTCTGCCACTAGTGGGATCGACTTAAAAAGAGCATAAATAGGAATATCTACTGCAATTTCCTTTCACTGCATATGTTAATATATTTATATATATATGTTTGTGTGTGTGCAAAATGACACGCGTACGCGATGCTATATTTCAATTATTTGACTTATGACGTTGCTGCATAACCTTTTCAGACAAAATAATGTATTTTAATCATAAAATTTCTGTTAACAAATAGTTTACAAACATGTAACCTTTTAGAAAATTTCCTTTTTGCAAAAGATCATACGTAAAATAATGTTTACGTTTCTTCACATACCTGAAGTTTTTGAAAAGGCCATTTCTTTCTGCGTTTAAAATATCCATTAACGTTCACCATTTCTTTTTTTCCCCATACTCTTTACTAAATGTGCTATCCAGCAGCTTAACAGCAGTGGATGTTTTCGGAAAATTTCACCATTTACTGGAACTCGTTGCTTTTTTTTTTTTTTTTCTACCGCCATCCTCAGTAATAAACACGTGCGAAACAGTCCTTTTGACAACAAACTACCCCCCTTTCCCTGAGCCTCGAGCAATGTAGAGGTGAGATAGACTGGTTGCTATGCAATAAACGTCACTTCCGCACGGAATTTCCACTTCATTTTCCGCCGACGGAATTTGAAGAGGCCAGATTCGATCTTCCTTCTGCTGTCGAGTGGAAAGAGAATCCCGACTGGTTTTCCGATATCGATCTCAACCGGTGTCCAGAGTAGACCCTTTAAACGTGAAACTACGCAGAATACAGTTAGTGCAAAAGTTAATATCCTAAAGACAAAGACCTGTGATTCCAGTTTTGTTGTGCATTGCAGGACAGAGATGATGCTTTTGTGAATTAAATATTTTTTTTCGGAATATGTAACATATCATACAAATTGGAAGGTAAACAGACAAAGTTGTAGAATTTGGAGAACAGAAAACCCGCATAACATTGTTGAACACCAGCGAGATTCTCCAAA